TCCTCAGGAGGCTAAGATCTGAGGATCGCGGTTCAAAGCCAGCCCAGGCAGGAAAGACCCTGAGACTCCTATCGCTAATAAATCCACCAGAAAACTGGCAGTGGCGCTGTAGCTCAAGGTAGAGCGCTGAGGGACAGCGTCCAGGCGCAGAGTTCAAGCCCCACGACCAAAAAAAAAAAAAACAAAAAAACATTAGTGGCTGGCATCTGTTTCCAGGGAGATAACCACTGAGAAGTTCGGGGATACCCCCTGTCCTGCCCTCCATCAGGCCAGGCTGGCCACGCCTGGCAGCCTGCAGGGTGCACGGAGCCCGCCGGTCCATTTCCCAACACCCACGGGAGCACCGGGATTAGCTTGCACCGTGGCTTGAGTGGCTCAGGGATCCAGAGGGGGCCGAGGGGGCTGACTGGGCAGGGCTGCCCGTGGGGGCCACACCAGCCCCCTGCTCAGAGCTTCACTGCTTGAGGCGGCCCGCGCGTCTCCTCACCCCAGGCCCGGCCAGGCTCCCGGTCTGTGCCTGCCCCTCCTCCAGTGGAATCAAGGACAGGGTTGGGGGCTGGCGGGGCTTGGCCGCCATCTGTCAGCCTGGCACTGCCGAGTCCCAAACCAGGAAGAGGCAGCCTTCCCTGTTGGCGCGTGGAAGCGAGCCGCGGCTGCTCTCACACCACGTGATGTGTGGTCGCCTGACATGGCGGGGCCTGGTCAGCTCGCTCACTGCCCGCGGGTGGCTAAATCAGCTGCTCGCCGGGGCAGGATGTGGACGGGGGGTGGGAACAAGCGTGGGCACCCGCAGTGCTCTGTCTCGTGGCTCCCAGGAGCCTTGGGGCCCAGGGCTGTGCATCCCGGGCTCCGTGTGTCTCCCGTGTAGACGGCCGCGTTGGTGTGTGGGAGCCAGGCCTGGACCCAGCCTTGCATGAACTAGGAAAAGTTCATAGCAAAAAATAAAAGTTGGCACAGAGCTGGCGCGGCCGTGACAGCGCAGGCCGGGGCTGCGTGCAGTGCTGTCCGCAGGGCCCGCCCCGCTCTGCTCGGGCCCTGTCCCCACCCCCCCTGTGGGCGGACGCAGGCACAGGAGGCCTGAGACCCTGCGCTAGGGTCTTGCTCTGTTCTGTCCGCAAGCCCGAGATGCTGTGTCTCGTGGGGAACTCCGAGGGGACGTGGTGTTTGTCCCAAGCCTGCTCCGGCATCCACGGTCCTCCCAGATGTGGAGGTAGCAAGGAAGGGGCTGGGCAGGGAGGGGGGAGGACAGGGCCAGGGAGGGGCAGGGAGGGGGGAGTTCAGAGGCTGGGCAGGGCCCCCCAGTTAGGCGAGGTGTACATGGAAGCCTTGGCAGTGAAGCCAGATCATGGTGTGTTTGGGCCACGTCTGAGGTGGCCACGCTGGTCCCAGCAGGCAGGCCACCGGTGGCAGGTGGCAGCATGGCTCAGGGCTGCGGGCAGAGGCCCCTCCTCCACCCCGTGGCTCCCGTGGCCTGGCTGTCGTCTGCTCCGCCGGTAGGAGGGCAGAGCCTCTGGGAGCGACCGCGTCCAGGAAAGCTCCCCTGGGAGGCCGGGATGTGGGGTTCGCAGTCCGATTCGACAGCGGTGGGGTGCTTCAGAGAGAACCAAACGGGCCTGGCCTTGGGGGTCTTCTGGGCCTGGCTTTGGGGTTGCCCTCTGGAGTTGAGTCTCCAGCTGCTTCCTGTGAGCGGCAGGAGTCCCTGTGTCTGAGAGTCTCTGCCTCCCTGCCCCTGGCCTCCCTGCTTCCCGCCTCCCTGCCTCCCGCCTCCCTGCCTCAGGCCTCCCTGCCTCAGGCCTCCCACCTCCCAGCCTCTGGCCTCCCTGCCTCAGGCCTCCCAGCCTCCAGCCTCCCTGCCTCTGGCCTCCCGCCTCCCTCCTCCCACCTCCCAGCCTCCGGCCTCCCGCCTCCCGCCTCCCTGTCTGCTCTGCAAGCAGTAGCCTCCCTTGGTGCTGCCCTCACCTGCCCTGGGCTGTCCCCACGCTCGACCCCGCCCGCCCCATCGGAGCCGGCCCAGCTCCTCTCTGCTGTGTGGCCTCTGTGGGGTGTGGTTGGTATGCTGGAATTTGGAGTGGCTGTACGTGGGGGGTCGCTGCCTCCTGGTGCTCAGTCGCCTCTCGGATGTCCTCACCCCTCTTTGCAGGGGACCTGAGTCTCTGAGGGGCCGAGCTGGTAAATGCCTGAACCAGGCTCCAGCACACAGCCGATCTGAGCATACAGTGAGCAGTAACTCCGGTCCAGGCACCCGAAGGCCGTTCCGCCGTGTAACAGGCTGAAGAGCGGGGTGCCCCGTTCACATAGGAACAGCAGGGGCCTCTGACCGCTGGCCACGGAGCGGGCGGCCGTGACGAGGGTCAGTTCCCATCCCAGCACTGACCAGGCTGGCCCCTCCCCTGACCAGGCTGGCCCCTCCCCTGACCAGGCTGGCCCCTCCCCTGACCAGGCTGGCCCCACCCCTGACCAGGCTGGCCCCACCCCTGACCAGGCTGGCCCCTCCCCCTCAGCTTCCGAGGTAGGCCTCCATCCAGGGCACCCAGGATGTGTCTGGGACCTCAGACGGAAGCAGCGTGGCAGGAGGGGAGGGTGTAGATTCAGACACCAGTTCTTCACCTCATCAGAAGTGGGGGGGGGGGTAGGGGAGGAAGAAGGGGCGGGCCAGGTGGGCAGGCAGGACCAGGGGGCAGGGGCCTCTGGGGTTCTCATTTTGCTCTGTGGACTCTGAGCTCAGAAGGTCACAGCGACCTTCAAGACTGGGCTTTGAACCAAGTTCAGTTGGGTCCCCAGACCGGTGTGGGCAGGTGCCCCTCCCCCCCGCTCCCGCTGTCACCCGTGCGGGGCCCTCACTGGCAGGAGATGGCCCGGGCCAGCGTGGGACGCAGGGTCCGCGCCGTCAGGTTCAGAGGGGAGGGGAGGGACCGGCTTTGGGAGCACGCGATGGGCTGACCCCAAGGCGGGCAGAAGTGGGTGTCACCACCCACCGGTCCCCCAGAGGAGGACAGCAGGCTCAGGACCCTTCAGGTGGGCAGCTACTCAGAGGAAGAGTCTCAAGGCGGCTGACCGAAGCCCTGGCTTCTGGTGATGGGCAGTCCACATCCACCATAAAGAGGCCTGGGAAGCCTGGCCCACGGGGGCCACAGGGCCAGGGAGGGCACAGTGGCACCAGGCTGCATGGGCCTAGAGAAGGGCCCGAAGCCCCGGCCCGCCCCGCTCCTGTCTCCCGCTCCGTCCTGGCTGCCTGCCGGGCTTGGTCTCTAACAGCCCCCGAGGACTTTCCCTCTCAACCACACCGCCAAACCACTCAGCCCCGGGAGGCTGCGGTCTGTCCTTGCTGTGCTGGCTAGCGGGGGGAGGAGGGGGAACAGTGGGGACCACAGAGGCCGCCGTCCGCATCCTGAGCCGTGGGGGAGGGCTCACCCGCGTGGCCTGCGCGTGGTGGTGTTGCTCGGGATGCCCAGCCTCCCCTCTGCCTACCCAGACCCCCAGGATGGATGTGGCGCCTCCTGACGCCCCGGCCGGCCCTGGCTGGCGGTCACGGGCGTGTTCCCTCCCGGGACGCTGCGCTGTCCCCGCTGGCGCCCTGTCTGCTCCTGCCCTGTGCAGGGCCCTCTCGGTGCCCCGTGTGCCGGGGCCGTCATCCTGGACTTGCTGCCTCCCCCTCCCCCTCTGGGCCAGAGGCAGCTGCCGGCGGTGCTGGGGGCTTCTTCTGGTCCTGGTGTCTCGCACCTCTGGTGGCTCCATGCTGGGAGAGGCACTGGAGAAAACTGAAGCCTCCCCCTGTTCCGCTGCCTCCTTCCTTGCTGCCTCCCCTTCCGGCTCCATCCCCGCAGCCTCTGATTCCCGGTGGGAGGCAGGCAGCCTCCAGCCTCCTCCTGCCCCTTCAGTGGCCACCCAGAAGGCCCGGGGCAGGGTAACAGTTGGCCTTGTCTCCGGGGCCATGTTCTGCACCTATTCCTCCAGCCCGCCCCCATGTGCCTGGGGGGTAGGGGCGGGGAGGGGTGATTGGCAGAGGGCCCCGCACACTAGTAGGAGATGAGACTTTGGCAGGTGGCAGTGAAGTGGGGGTTTCAGATTTCTTTCCTTTAAAGGGGAACAAGGGGCCAAGAGACCGTGTTGCAGGGTAAGGGGTGACACACACCATTCTTGTCCCCCCCAACAAGCCATCAGATGGCTCTGATGTGGCCGAAGTGCTGAGGGAGGTGGCCCTCCCCCTCCCCCCAGTCCCCAGGTCCCCCTGCCGCGGCCCGGCCGCCCCCCTCCCGCCGCCGCCCGCTCACCCAGCCTGCCGATCGGCAGCACAGGATGACGCCCGGGCCGCGCCGGGCGCTCTGTGGGCTCGTCAGATGACTGTGGGGGCCCCACGCTCCCTGGCGCGGAGGAGGGGGCGCGGAATTGCACACCGGTCCTGTATCCCCGCGCCTGCCTGCCTGCCTGCCTGCCTGCCTGCCTGCCTGCCAGCAGCTCCTGCGTGCACGGAGCAGCAGCGGAGGGAGCTGGGCTTCTTTTTCCATCCCTCCAAGAGAAAAACAAAGCTTCCACCGCCTCAGTTCTCCTCTGGCTGATTCCATTTGCGTCCCTGGAAGATGCGTCTGGCCGAGGCGGGCCGGGGCAGCGCCGTCGCCACCCCTCCGCCGCTGCTGCGGCCGCCGCCGCCACCGGGGCTACTTACTTTCTTCTTGGAGCTGGGCGGCGTTGCCCTGGCCGGCCCCCGGGCACCCTGAGCGGCCCGCCCGCCCGCAGGCCCTCCGGCATGCGCCGGTCCTTCCCCCGGCTGGCTCCCCCCCTCCACATCCCATTGTGCCCCGCTCCCCCATCCTGCTAGCCCCCCACCCCCACCCCAGCTCCTCCCGCACCTCTCCCTGCCACCCAGGCTCCTCCATGCTGCCTGGATCCGGCGAGCGGCGTGATTAATTGGCTATGAGGATGAACCTCCCCGGTGGAGGAGCAGCCGCCGTAATGATGACGGGTTACAATAATGGTCGTTATCCCCGGAATTCTCCCTACAGTGACTGCATCATCGAGGAGAAGACGGTGGTCCTGCAGAAGAAAGACAATGAGGGCTTCGGGTTTGTGCTCCGGGGGGCGAAAGGTAAGCGCGGCGGGACGCGTGTGTGTGCCCGTGTGTGTGCCCGCGTGTGCCCGCGTGTGCCCCTGAGCCTGTGTGCCTGTATGAAGCATGTTCCCAGCTTGGAGATAAACGTGAAGCGGCATTTTCCTGGGGCCACTTGGTTGCTAGACAACCGTGATCTCTCGCATCCTGCCTTTCTCAGGAAGCACTGGGGCTTCCTTTCAGCATATTTTCTTAATTTTCCATCCACAATATTGCCCGGAACAGGCTCATACTCTCTCCCTCTGCCCTCTCTTTCTTGCTCTTTCTCCCCCCACTTCTTTTAATCATGGAGTTAATCCGTCCATGTCTTACGCTTTAGTCTGACCACATTGTGGCTGCCTTCAGAGCGCAGACACCAGAATCTCCAGCCTGGAGTTGGGGGGTGCCCCGCTCTGGGAGGGGGGCTTCAGCCCAGGGAGGCCAGCGCCCGTGTGGCTCTCTGTAAGGTGACTTTGCAGAGGTGTGTGGAGCCGGTGACACACACCCAGTGGGCTGTGCGGTGGGGGCTCTGGGGTCCGGGTGGTGGGGCCGGGGGCTTCCCTGGCCAATGAAAACAAAATGGCATCGCCCCCGTGAGAGGGAGACACTGCCCCGTGGGCGCTGACCGGCCATGTGGAAGTCCCACCTCAGGGCTGCTGGGCTGCGTCGGGGCCCTGCCCTTGCTCTGAGATGGCCTCCTGCCTGCCCGAGCTCCGGGCGTCCAGAGCGATCTGCCCAGAGGGAGAGGGGAGCTCGCCCCCCCCCGGACGTGCCTACGTCTGCCTGTGTGCCCGGCTCTCCCTCCCCACCTGGGCATCTCTGCCTCTCCCACCCACCCCCGGTCCTCATGACTGCCAGGAAGTCCCACCTTGCCCTAGAGTTGTACTTGAAGCCATGTGGGCCTGGAACCGAGCCTGGCTCTGCCGAGGAGCGGAAGTCCAGCCCCCACCCCCCTTCAGGCTGGGCCCGGAGCGTGTGGCCGCAGGAAGCCGGTCCCCCCCCCAACCCCCCTCCACCCCACACCCAGCCAGAGCTCAGAGCAGACCCCAGACGCGCGGCCACCCACCAGGTCAGCCTTCTGCTCCAGCCATGTTCCTAGTCCAGTCTCCTAGGCCGTGGCTCCGCGTGGAGTTTCTCCAGCTCCCTGTGGTATGAGCAGGAACTTTTCCATTTTTAGAACTGAAAAAATGTTTAGTCACCGATGCTTTTAAAGAAAATGACAGGCGTGCAGACCTGTTCCACAGAGCACGTTGTCCTGGGGTTGGGTGGGGAGGCCGAGGGGCATGCGGGGGGGATGGCCCTGCGCACGGCTGGCCGCCCGGCTCAGGAGGAGCCAGCGGGACCACTGCCTCCAGCAGCAGGTGTGGGGCCGCCTCCTCCAGGGTCCTGTGGTGTGAGGAGGGGGACAGCCCACCTGGAAAACACCTCTGTCTGCTTGTCTCCCCAGCCGACACCCCTATCGAGGAGTTCACGCCGACGCCGGCCTTCCCGGCACTGCAGTACCTGGAGTCCGTGGATGAGGGCGGGGTGGCGTGGCAAGCCGGACTGAGGACCGGGGACTTCCTGATCGAGGTAGGACACGCGTGTTTCTGCTCATCCTGCCCGGGGAGAGCGCGGACGCGCCGCTGGGAAGGCGCGGTTGTGGCGGCCACGCCACAGGTTTAGGGGTGTCGGAGGGACTCTGGGTGTCTCCGCCCCTGTGGCTGCCCGTGGCCCTGGTGTTTCGGAGTGTCTGTGAGCCTCTGGCTGTAAGTCTTAGGAAGGAGAAGATGTGCATGGAACTTGGCCGTCTGTCCCAAAGTAGAAGGGTCGGAGGAGACGTGGCTGGGCTGGCGGGCTGGTGGGGGAGGGATCTGTGGATGTGTGTGTCTTGGCTCTACAGTGACACCAGGGGTCATTTCCTGTCCCTGTGCCCCAAGAGCGAGAGAGAGAGACTGCTGGCATAGGCCGCAGCTGGTGGCTGGGAGCCGGCGGGTCTGCCGTAGCTGGATGGGCGACGGGCTCAGGAGACGGTGGATCTTGGGCAGGAGAGGGCAGAGCAGTGACTTTGAAAAGTGGCTGCTGCTTGTGTCTCATTGCAGAATCCCCCGGGTGCTGTGGACGCCCCGGCCACCGTGCGTACGAGGGGAACTCCCGTGGCACATCTGGGTGGTTCGCCGTCAGGCGGGTTCAGGGTGGTTCTGGTCTCGCGGGGCGAAGGCACGTGTGACCCTCTGGAAATCAGAAGAAGGCAGGAGTGTGCTGGAGATGGGAAACGATCCCGAGTGGCCCTGTGTCTCAGGCGGAGGGAGCAGGGAGGGGGTCCTGCGGGGGCCCACCCCCTGCACCTACCCCGACGTGTGTCCGGGACCACATCTGACCTTGCAGACCTGGACCTGGAAGCCATTTCTGCCCATGGTGCCCAGTGATCCTTCAGCGGGGGCCTGGTTTGGGATTCCAGGGGCATTTACCCGGATTTGTAAGGGTGATGGACATGCAAGGGGAACCCCCCCTCAATGTGGGGGAGAGTGAGCCGGGCAAGGGGAGGCAGTGTGGTCTCACTGTGTCTCCTACTGTTTGCTGGAAGATGCATCCAGGTGATTCTTGACCAAGGTGAAGCCTGGGTTGGGTGAGCCCGGAGCTACTTGGAGTTGTTGTCTGTTGGAACTGTGGGGTGCAGACCTGGAGTGGCAGAGCAGGGGGGTGGGGGCGCCCCCCTGCAGCTCCGCCGGGGGTTTGTAACCCTCATGCAAATGTAGAGGTGGGGTGTGAATCATCTCCAGTAGGATGCGATTGTGATGGAGATCCCTTTCTTGTGTGTGTGTGTGTGTGTGTGTGTGTGTGTGTGTGTGTGTGTGTGTGTGTGTGTGTGAGAGAGAGAGAGAGAGAGAGAGACAGGCAGGCAGGCAGGCAGACAGACAGACAGACAGATGGGACACGGCCTGAATGGGAGGCCTATGGATGACAGGGAATTCCGGAGGTCCACTAGGTAGAAACAGGCTGGTGCTGGCTCTTGGTCTTCAATAATAAATGACAGCGGTGGATGTTAAAATCTCTCTCCTCCCCTGGTGCTGGGCATATTGAGTTGTTTTCGGGTAAAACGGTTCAATGAAACTAATGGGGACCACCGAGGCACCATGCCCGGTGGGGGCCACGTTCCCCTGGCTCGGGGCTGGTAGATGTCGTGCGCTCATCTGGGCTGGGCTGGTGGAGGAGTCCCACTCTCCTGTCCCACTAAATCCTCAAGAAAACGTAAAGCATCAGGAGTTCCCTCCTCTAACCACTGGTGTATGGAAGTGCTTGCCTTCAGGGCGCAGGTATTTTATTTGGGGGACCTCTGCAGTCCAGCAGTGGCCCCAAGATGCATTAGACGGTGGTGACACGGAGCTGCCCGTGGCCCTTGGCCACGCCCTCCGGAGCAGCCGGCCTACTGGGCTGTGTGCTGACAGGGAGCAGGTCCACCCAGACAGACATACGGACTCATGGGGGACCCGGCTGCTCCTGTCCACCTCCCAGCTGCCTCTGGGGACTCAGAAATTCTCCACTCGGTGCTTGGATCAAAGACTGAGAATCCCTGTTGAGTTATTTTCCTAGCAACTGAGTTTTGCCATTGGAATATTAAAATCATTTCTGGCCTGACCGGGGTGTGTGTTTCAAGCAGGCGATCTCTCTCTGCATTTTCAATGAGCCGTGGCAACCATGAAGGATCACTGGAAACTGAGTCTTCATGTGCCCCGGGCCTAGTCAGAGTCTGTGTGGTTTCGGGCTCCCCGTGAGGTGCGGGCTCCGTGCGGAAGGCCACTCGAGAGCCAGCATGTGGTCCCCACCCATCCCAGCCTTCCTCTCTGCTGTTTGAAAGACCCTGGGAAGCGTGTCAGCCTGTTTCCCCAGGGCACACACTGCAGCTTGCTCCTTTGGGCCAGGTGAACATTGGCAGAAGTGAACATTGGCTGTAAAAGTCATCATGGACATCAGTGTCTTTTTGTTGTTGTTGGTGGTGGTCATGGGGCTTGAACTCTGGGTCTGGGTGCTGTCCCTCAGATCTTCAGCTCAGGGCAAGTGCTCTACCACTTGAGCTACAGCAGCACCACTTCCTGTTTTCTGGTGCTTCATTAGAGATAAGTCTCACAGACTTTCCTGCCTGGGATGGCTTTGAACCGTGATCTTCAGACCTTGGCCTTCTGAGTAGCTAGGATGACAGATGTGAGCCACTGGCTCCCAGCGCCATCTTTACAACTTTGTTTTTCCATCTCTGACGTTGTCCCGGTGTCCGGAAGATGGTGCCCGTCCCACCACACAGGCTTCCGGTCGGATTTTTCTAGGGTGGAAGTTTGTTCTGTGGACCCCACCTTCCCTGACCACAGTCCAGAGCTTTGAGTGAAGTTTCCTGCAGATGTGTCTTCAGATTGGCGAGAGATTGGAGGGGGTGCTGGCGGTGTGGGGGCAGGGACTGGCCGGGCTCCTGGGCCCTGTGGGTGAGGGACACTGGCCATCGGAATGGCGGTAGTGCTGCTCAGCTGAGGGGAGATGACCAGCAACAGCATCTGAGCGTGCTGAGCGCAGCCCTGTGGGTCGTGTCGTTGGAGGCTGGCTTCTCTTTTATCTTCATATTCTTTCCCTCTGTGATGTTGGGTTGGGTCAGGTGGAGCTTTCCCATTGGAGAGGCAGCGGCTGGGGGCGGGGGTGGGGGCGGGGCCACTGGAGCAGGGATAGCCTTCCTGTCTGTTCTGCTTTGCATACAGGTGAGTCCCCGCCCACCAGGCACAGGAAGGAAGGCCCTCCTCCCCCCCATCCCCCCTCCCCCATCTGGGGGGGAGAGGAGGAGGCGTGGCTACAGGAGCTGGTCAGGAGGGGAAATGGAGGCAATCCAAGACAGAAGCAACTCCAGGGTCGGCCTGCTGCTGAGGGCTTCTCCCATGTCCGGCCACGCGGTCCTGGTCAGGCCGTGGAGACGGGGCTGGACAGGTCAGAGGTCATTTCTGAATCTGCCATGCTCCGTGGGCAGCTCCAGAGTGAGCGCTGGCCAGGAGCTGGCTGTCGCTCCGCTGGGCTCACCACTGGCCTTGGCCTGTGAGACAGAGCTGTCCATCAGCTGCCCGGGCCTTCATGACACAGCTGGGCGGCGGTGGTCCACAGACCCAAGCCCAGCTGCCATCTGAAATCTCTTAATTTGGCACTCTGATGAGAACTCCTAAACAGAAGCAGAAGTGGAATCCCTCTCCTGCTCAGGAAGTTCTTTCTCCTGCAGATTCCCCAGGTAGAAGTGTGGTTTGCTTTTCCTTGCGTTACTTTGATAAACTACGATGTCCTGTGTCTTGAGGCTTGCCTGCGGCGGCAGCAGAACACTCGTCCGGTGCTGGGCCCTGGGTTCATCCCAGGGATGGCGGGAAGAGAACAGGGAAGGGAAGGGGGAATAAATAGCCAGCAAGGCAGCGCAGCACAGGCCCGCGCGGGGCGGGGCGGGGGGAGCGCGGCACCCAGAGGCCCAGGTCCTTCCTCGGAGCTGCTGGGCGTGTGTGTCCACACGCTGTGCCGTCCAGCTGTTCAACAGCCCGATCACGCGACCTCCGCTGTCCACCCATCTTACGAGGAGGAGGCCGAGGCACAGAGACGCCAAATCACTTGCCAGGCCGCGTCTACCGTGCGAGCTGGGCCGGACCCAGGCTCCCTCACTCCGTCGCCAGACACTCAGATGCCCGAGTGCTGCACCCAGTGCAGGGTAACGTGCCAACTTGTGTTTTCAAATTAGCACTTTGTTTTAAATTACTCTACTTGTTGGGGGTGAGGACTCACCTCATGCTAGGTGAAAATGGTATGTGTACAACTTAAGATGTGTAGCCTAGCATGGTGGTACACATCTGTAATCCTAGCACTCAGGAGGCTGAGGCAGAAGGAACATGAGTTCTAGGTTAGCCTAGGCTACATAGTAAGACCTTGTGGCAGGAGGGGGAAGGGTGGGGGACTGTAAGCCAGGCACCAGAGGGAGCCTAGCTGCGTTTCCTAGCTACATAGGAGGCTGAGATCTGAGAATCACAGTTCAAAGCCAGCCTAGGCAAGAAAGTTTGTGAGATTTTTATCTCCAACTAAACCATCAGAAAAACAGAAATGGAACTTTGGCTGTGGCTCAAGTGATAGAGAACTAGATTTAAGCAACAATGTTTAAATGCTTGCCAGGCAAACTATTTGAGCCACATCTCAGTCAGGTTTATTTTAAATTGTCCATGGATTATTTTATGTTCGGTGTGGTATTTTTGTGTTGATATCAAGGTTTGAACTTAGGGTCTTAGCCTCTCACTCAGCTTGTTTTGTCATTGTTGGCACTCTAGCACTTGAACCATGCCTCTACTTCCTGCTTTTATTTTGCTGGCTAGTTGCAGGTACAAGTCTTGAGAATTTGTTTGTCCAGGCTGGCTTTAAACCTTGTTCCTCAGATCTCAACCTCCTGAATAGTTAGGATTACAGGCGTGAGCTTCGTAACTCTATGGCAAGTGGTGTGACACTAGGTAACAAGAGCCGGAAGACCTGACATGGAGGGTTCCACCCTAAGGGAACCTTCCAGAAACAAGCAGAGACCACAGTGCAATAAAATAGAG